GTAACTCAATTTAAGTTCCTCAGCAGCAACCCAGCAAAATCAGGTACCGGGCCTTGCAAGGTTTCTCGACCCTCTAAAGAAGCACGGGCAACTCACTCTGGGAACTTGATGTTTACTTTTTTCTGCAGTTTGCCTGACAATTGCACCCTGGCGTACCATGCTATAACTGCTGCAACCCCATAAGCAACAACCAGAGAAGTGTGGCCACCGCGCCAGCAGATGTAAAATGATGTCCTACCGTAAAGAAAGGGGATGTGCACCAAACATAGTGACATGAAGGACCCAGCATTCCTAGGGTGTTTCGGGAGTTTTTTTATGGATTGAATGCTAAGCGAATGTCAGTGACCCGTTCTAGGTCCTGAAAACCAAGGTACACACTCTACACGCTGCGAGAGCTAAAGAGCAACCAGAAGACTGCGAAGTGGAAGCTGCAGAGCACGAGGCATCTTTCACTCGGACAACGATCGCTAGTGCTAGAATTGAAAATTGAGAACTTGTGATTCAGGCTGCAGCCGTTTCGCATGCTCCCAGGGTGCAGCGAGCCAGTGCCTTTGTTTGCATTGTTGCGGCGCTTTCCCTGAAGGGCAGGGACCAGTGGACTAACAGGAACACAAGGCATGATCAGTAAGCTGCCAACTCAGGTTTGACTGTGCAGCTCCTGGCAAGGATCGCTGCGCTGTGAATCACTGATGCTTCCTCCCAACTGGGTTCTGTTCTTCTGGGCCCCCGCGAGCCAGTATTTCCCTTTGAGCGGGTTCCCAGAAGTCTGAATCATTGAGCTATGGGTCGCTTACGGGAAGTGTCATGATGGCATGGGTTTGAAGTGCATTCAGCATGTTGATTGTGTCTGTCACTCAATTCCAATTCTGCTGCTGCTGCAGACAAGTTGTGGCTCAAGCTCAAGCCCACATGGCTGCACAAGCAGCCTCTTCATCTGACGCTTGTCTGGCAACAGGACGACTAGACTATCCAGTGGCAGGCCGCCAACCGCAGCACAAATGAAATTGAAATTCCTCAGCAGGCGATGTAACACTTCTTTCGCCGCATTTGTCAATTTGTAGCTGAGGATAACGAACGACCGAACGACAAAGGCATGGAGAGTCCGGCGCAGGCCAGAAAGGCAAGAGCTGCAACTGCAGTAGCACTGCTGCCCTTGACGCAGTCTCAGGCTACCAGCAAGAACAGCTTGCAAATCCTTGTCGTGTCAACCTCAGGAAGCAAGGTGCGTGAGTCCAGCTTGTCCATTCCACGGCTGATGCCCATGTCCGAAAACTGATTCAGAGGCCTTGGGAAACATCGTTCCCTGGACTCTCGTTGCCTCCATAGGTGGGGGTCCCCGGTGTTGGAAATTCAAAGTGTGTGTTGCGAACGGCGAAGCCCAAACTATCTTGAAACAGGACAAACAAGCAACGGTCGGAAAGCGTGGTATAAACTAGGGCTCAAAGGGGGTTGAAACTTTTGGGCCCGAAAGTTGATATGATCCGCAGAAGAACAGCGTAAACTTCGGTTTTCTGGAGATTGGTTCTGTTAGCCGGCATTTAGTAAGGGCATGTACGGGCCATTGCCTGTCAAGGTGACCTGTTGTGACACACAACCCGATCTCCAGTACTGCTGCTACAGGCCCCGCTAGCCTTCAGTAAGTTCACCTCCTCCGATACATAATGCCAGCCGGCTACGCCGGTAGCTGTATCTTTTCCTTCTGGCATGGCATCTTCGAAAGCAGGAAGTGGCATGCTGATGCCCACCAGCTGCTGAGCTAACATGGCGCAGTGTATGATCATGTGGGAAACTGCAAGCGGCTGCAAGCGCAGGGTTGGAGCTAATCCTTGCGAGCGGCCCAGGCACATACATCGCTCTGAACTTCTTTGCCAAGAGGTACACTGATCTGCCGCATGGTGAAATCCAATGCCATATTGACATACGCAACTTGGCCTGTTGCGTGCATCATTTGACAGCCATTAAGTTAGGGCATTCGCATCATGGGTTACGGTCGGCTAGAAAGTTGGCCCCCAAAAATATTGGACTGTCTCAGGCGTTGACAAATTTGCTAATGTTTTGGTCAGAGTGCTCAGATGCTGTTGGCTGGCTGTGCCATGTTCAGGTCCCCAATATTGCCAGCTAGCGCTGGTAGATGGCAACCGGCTGGTCACGGTGCAACTTGTTCAGCATAGGCTGTTGCAAGGTTTGCTCCAAGGTGTTTCTGCCAGGCACACTGCACCCTGCTCCGTTGCAGCCTCCCGCAAGTGTCAACGTCAGGTTGGGCGTATTGATGCCCTTGTGCCAATTTCTCACTCTGCACCTTGGAAGAGCCAAGTCTGCCGCGCAACTCATTTTGCTTTAGGAATGTAGCTTCTTTGCTTTACGCATGTGTTGTGTTCGCTCGTATGTCCATGCTCTTAAGGCCATACCATGTTCAAGCCAAACTTGATTCACTATCTTCACTTGCTGCAGCTTGTCACCATTTCAAGGCCGTTGGTTGGGGTGGCGAGCGATGCGTATGGCCGAAAGAAGACGCTACTAGTCGTACCTGGGCCGACCAGCTCATCAGCGGTTATGCCACCGGCATTTTTTGTGAGTGCCACCAGTGGTGATGTTTCTGTGACCAGTCCAAATCCATCCAGTTAAGTTGCTGACGCGGTCACCTTGTCTGAGGTGTATTGCCTTTCGAACATCAGCCTGCTATTTACAGATCTGCGTCTGGGACACCTTTTGTTAAGAGTTTCGCTTGAACCTGCATAGCAACGCCGGCCTGTTTTTGTGGCTGTCTGGTAAGCTGGGCCGCTAGCTGCTTGTTATGTTCAGCGCTTCCCGTCCAGCTCGTGCATGGTCTGCTTCCTCAAGCAATCAAGGTTTGTTTTTTTCGACGTCTCCTACTGGTTTGCGATTGCGACTGGCTTAGTGCCGCTTGTGCAGTGCTTGAAGGAGGAACGCCTGGATGCTGAGGCAATCAATCCGTTTCTGAATGCCCAGGCTCGGCCAGGCTCTGCGACGCATCGCGCAGGTCGCCCTAGGCAACAGGATTTTCTTAACATCGCAAGTGATGTAGAAAAGCCACCCCGGATGTCCAGCTTCACAACATCAAGGAAACAAGGGGAGTGGGTGGGGGGGTGCACAAGCTGGGCGGCATTTGTCAAAGGTCTGGCTGCCTTTCGGCCGGTGCTTGCCGCAACATGTAAAAAACTGCTGGATTGCTTTGTACTGTGGGCAGCTCGTCACCACCATTCTGAACGCCTCGTGCGTGGACCTCCTGGACAGCCAAGACAGATCTGCAGGCGGCCTTAAGCCTGAGAGTTTTCTGTTTTGAGGCTGATAGATTCCAGGATGATCTCAGCTTGAGCAGCCTGAGTGAGTTTTGGTCATCAGCAGGTATTGCTCTCATCTCGTCACTGGACACCGTGGCGTATATGATAGGCCATGTGATTTTCTATCGTTGGGCCGGGAGGAGTACTGCGCGCAGCAAGTGTAGTAAACTGAGAAGGCTTTGATTTGCGAACATCTGCCAAATGTTGCATTGAAGCCTGCTCACTTGCCGGAGGTTTGGTTACCGGAATGCATCTAACTTTGCATCGCAACTTCTTAATCGCCACCTGCCACCTGGATACAACAAGGGCTTGGCTGCACATGTAAAGAGTTCTGTGGTTCGCCTGCCCAGCAGCATCTCTTTCTGATTTACCTGAGAGGTCATGGAAATGACAGCCATGGCTCTTTGTAGTGGCCTAAATACTTACGTAGGAGCAGTATCATAGGGCACCCCCAGAAGAGACCATAATTCTGAGGTGCGCATGATTTTCCTGTGCCATCACACATTCACCAAGGTTTGGTGCCAGTCTGCGCCATCTGGTGTTACCTTGTCTTTCCAGAGACCCTTCCGGCAGAGAAGCGGCACTTCACCATGAATTACCGTGCTGGACTCAATCGTCTTCCTACGAAAGCCTTGTGATTGCTGCAACAAGTCGAACAGCTGCATCTGACAGCTCAGGGAATTTCCTGCCATGGGATTCGCTGCCAATCTTGTCTCTTGTCACAACTTAGCTACTCTGTTTCAGAGTTAGAGGTGTAGGTCACAAAGCAAATGCTGGAGATTCCGTCTGGTTTGTTGTCAGAGGTGGCGGACGAACACTTTGATGCGTCTCTCTATAGTCACGGGAATCGCGGCCTTTGTTGATCAAAGCAGCTCCCGCATGATGGGCACCTACTACCAGAACCTCGGTCTGCAACTTCGATCCTCCTTTTCATCTTTTGGATAAAGGCTTTTGAATCCCTTTCGGAACGTAACATGGAAGAGGCATCAAGTGCAGCGAGATCTGTCAGGGTAGCAGTAGGAGACGCAAACTCTGGGGCTGAGCGTGCTGAGTAGCATGCACTGTCCAAGGCGCATTATGAACTGGACTGCGAAGGACCTTGTCGTCGGGACTTGGCATGGTTGACTAGAGCTTTGTCACCCGGGCTGCTTCCATCTCTGCCACCACATGTGCTACATTATATGAAGTCATGCTCCTCCTGTCTTATCTTTGTAAACAAGTCCTTCCTCCCTGGGGCTGCTGTTGCGTCTCGTAGAGGGGGGTGCCACAAGGCAGGAGGGACTTCGCAGGCTGGATGCAGAAGGCAGAAGGGACCCCTGCGCCGACCATCGCAATGCACCTGCACACGCATTCGACCCTACAATCTGCAAACCCGCATCCGCTTCCATCGCTTTCCCATTCAGCCTTTCTTAATTGTTCTGGCGCATGATGAGAAGATGTCATGTCGGGGCTCCTCGAATTTTCTTGGATGGTCATAGAGACATGCTTGGTGCTTTCGCTTTAACGATTTGTCAGATGGTTGGTTGCATAGGGTGGACGAAGGTTTGCGCTCAATTTTAGAGACAGTAGCTGCATTTGGAATCAATGCAAGCTCACTGAAATGCTCTGGTTATGCAGCGGCTTGGGGTGTTTTGCTGCTTTGGGGTCAGGTGCAAGCTCACTCAGATGCTGGGGTGGGTGCTGGGTAGGGTGGACGCACCTTCGAATCGTTCGGGAAGCGGTGCTTCACTCGTAGCAACTCACGTTTTTGCTTCTGAAATCAAGCCACACTGATCATCGAGCCCTTCCGTCATTGATCTTTTTGCCTGGTGACTGTCACTGCTAATTTGAACTTCCACAAACCTTGCCAGTGTGCAAGTTGATCGTTTATCTTCCTGCTATCCATGATGTGAATGCTCTTCTCATTCCTCTCCTTGCTGCTAGCATTAAGCATGCATCAACGCATATATATATATATATACACGCATATGCACGCATAAAGGTGCGTGTTCCTACCTGCAGGATGTACGTATCACTACCTGCAGGATTCACTGCTTGCATGGCATCCCCCCACACGTGGAAACTTTGAGGAGTTCCATGCTGCAACTCTGCAAGTAAGCTGTCGTTGGAGCAGTGACGGGGCTGCCAACAACGCCGTCATCTACAAAGCTTGGAACGCGCGAACTGCTGGTGTCTCACAATGTTTGAGGGGTGGTCGGTGCTGTAGATCGCATTGCTTGCAACATTTGAGAGATTGCAGTTGCAACGTCAGTTCTGATTCTGAACCTGTTTCCTTGTAGCATCGACACCTGCCTGCCTTTCTCCTTTTCCATGCTTGCAGAGCACGCTGCGGGATGCAGTGNNCCCCCCCCCCCCCCGCTCTCAGAAGTCCGATGTCGCTCATCAAGACACACCAAATCACTGCAGCGCAAAGTGGGTGAGGACAACTACGTGTTCGAGTCATGCTGGGACTTCAGCATGATCGTCCCTCGGCCTCATTGGATTTACATTCAGTTTCTTAGCCTCGGCGGCTGGTGGTACTTTAGCAGCTTTCAAACAGAAGCTCTCCTCGACAAGGTATGGCTTACGTTTCTCTTCCCGCTCCTAGCGGCCGGGCAGCACAAGTGCAGTTCCTGCCTGCTTCATGATCGGCCTTACTTTCAGTTGGGATAGCGGCTTCTTGTTGGAGCTCGGAGTGTTTTTGCGGGCCTCAAAAAGTTTAGGGTTTAAACTCCAAATTATTCAGTACAATCGTGTCCTTTACGGGGACATTGCTTCAAAGGCTGCCAGTATGCTGCAGGTAACCCAGGGACCCGAACCAGGTCATCGGGTCTTAAAATCTAGGGTTCAGGGCTTAGGGTTNNGGGTTAAGGGTTTTGGATCTAGGGTTTCAGGTTTCCATCTGGAAGTGTCGCGCCTCCACTCAAGAAGTTGTGGGCCGTGCGCCGCGCTAAAACTAAACTCCCATCCCAGGACCACCCGGTCATTACTGTTTTAGGGTTTAGGATTTTTTGCCGGTGGCTTGGGTCTTCTTTTGTATTGGGCTCTTGTTGCATTGAATATCTGTGGATGGTGCTTAAAAAGCGCTTCTGTCCTGACGTATGCTTCATCTATCCTACGAGCTCCGGTCGTGCGCGGGGCTGCGGCGCCATCGCTCCCTGCCGCTGCGCTTTGTGGTGCCGCCTTTGACATCGGTGGTTGTTTGGCAGCGTCGGCTTGAGTATCCCTACAACTGCACCTATGGCCTGAGATATGCATACGTCTATCCCAAGAGCTTCCGGTCTAGGGTCCCAAAATTGCGCCTGGGGCTGTATCCTCTACAAATGCGAGTATGGCCTGACATATGGGCGGACGTCAAAATACCATGTATGTAAAATATGATAGAAGTGCGATATGAGGTTCCACTCTTGCCGGTTTAGTTTTCGCTACAAGGCGGCACCATGCGTAGATACAAGTTTCGGGCTCTTCCCCATGTAGGCGCTAGGATAGCGCTAGCGTGGCTCAAGGTATTCTTTTGATCACCAGGCCTATGGCAGCGGCGCGGTCTCCAAAGATGACACGGTATGAGCGCAGGATGGTTGCGTGCGAAAATTAACCTTTCGGCTTGTAGGGTAGGGTAGCTGGCGTCGACGGCATGGCTTGGCGAGAGGAGGAAATCCGCACCTGTAGGACCGATCTCAATTTTTTTCCCAGTCCCAGAGAGTGACAAATCAGTAACATGTCCAGATTCATTAAAGTTTTCGCTCCAGATGCATATTGCCAGCGTGCCAAAAAATCTAGATCATGAGGCGAAACATGCGCTAGGCTGGCGCTAGCATCGGCCTAGCAAATACAGCGGGAAACGACCCGCGTGACCATTCTGCCATCTAAGACATAAAGCAGTACTAAGACATCTGATTCCAAACATGGCCGGCATGGAAGAGCTGGCAGGAGCTATCCTCAGCGAAATCCTAGACCCTACCTTCCCACACGGCCCGCTGCGCCCGCCCCCCACCCATTACGAGGGTGGTCAGTCATTGAAGATACACTTCAGTCTACACACCTTCGGGCGGAACAGATGGGGAATGGACGAATAGAGCTCCAGGAGACGACTCGCAAGTCCTAAAATGAAGGCGCTAGTACATTTTGTGAGGTTTTTGTATAGGGTACAAGAGTCAGTACTACACTTCTTTACTTGCCAAAGCCATCATTCCAGACCTTCGCTTTCCTTTTCGTCATGAGGCGGCACCATGATTTTTGCAGCATTCGCGCTTCCTGGAAGAAGGAATATTGACAGCCACTTATATGTGTACGTCTATCCCAAGAGCTTCTGATGACGGGCCCCAGAATCGCCCGAGGCCAGGAAAATCATGCGGTCTTGGTTAAACCAGCATCCGAAAATGGCCTGCTGGGCCCTAAAGGATCTAAAAGGATGCAGCTTTGGGTCAAAAAAGATGTGGCTTTGGTGAAAGCATGCGTGACTAGTCTGTGAGACAAGAAGGGTCGCGCGAACCTGACCAGCCACATTCAATCGACTGCTGGCACAGATACTTGATTTCCATGTGAACTGCTGAACGTGATTTTGTCTTTGCCGCCCTAGGCTTCCTTGGTATTGCATAACAGCCCGAAACCCTGAAGCCTAGAGTTCTATTGGACTGGTTTGGGATTCTTCTGTGCTCATTTACGATGTCGAGATTCAGGCTCGGGCCAGTAGTTACCCAGAAAGCCACCACAAATGGCCTTGCAAAAAAAGCATGCCTTTATGAGGTGGTTTGCAAACCCCAGTCCATGCATCAAAAAGTGAGGTGATTTATGCTGGGGAGATTGGAACCATGGCGTTCGGACGACTAGTCGGTCGCCAGGAAGAAGTTCAGAGTGCGCTTTAATTTGAAAAACGGCACCCAACAGGCGAAGGACGGCAACGCCATCCATCCAGCAAGGGCATGAACACGGCCTGAACTGAGGCAGTCTCTATTGCTTCGTTGCAGCCGCTCGTCAGCTACTGGCCATGACCAAGCACCGATGTTCGAAGTAACGTGGAATCCAAGGTCTTCGTCAGAAAGCCAAGCCACGCCTGAGACCTATCAGGGGTGCAACATGTACCAAGAATGCAAGTGCAAAGCACGTTCGATACTGAAGCAGCAAGCTGCTTGTATTTCACCGGCCCAGGCTTTTGCGAACTGCTTGCTGTGCGCAGGCAAAGCCTTGCCATGTTATGCACTTTTCGAGATTTTGTCGACACTCAGACTCGCTTGCAGGGCCAATGACCTTTGCCTTGCCAGCCGTGGCCGGGTTGAAGAGCCGGCTCGTGCACGAAGAAGAACAGGGCCGCATGCAGTCTGCGATCAGCACGGTCAGCTGGATGCAAAGTGCCCGTATTCGTGCTGGTTGTCATGGCCGAGCTGTGGTATCCAAGGTCTATGTGGTTTCTGGGAGCGTCGGGTGGCGCGGTGCCATTAAAGCTGCCCAATGTAAATGCCGGGTCTACCTGGCAGTGCAGTTGCTGGGGCTTCAAGCTTCACATTCACACTGTGAAAGACTGAGGACGGTGATTGGTGGAATCTTCTTCGAAGAGTTTGGCAATGTCAGCGATACCGGTTCGTTTGACAAGCTTTACATCTTGGCAGCGGGTCTGGTCTTGCTGAACTTGGCTGGAATGCATCTCAACCTCTAAATCATGGATGGATTTTGGGGTTGCGACATGGAAGTCAACCTGTGGCCATGCTGCTGCGTTCCCTGAGGCTCACATCTTTTGGTCTCTTCTATGACCTCTTTGGCAGACCCTTGCCCAAACAAGAATCCTGCTTCTGATGAAATGACACTTGAAGCTTGAAGTGATCATGTCCCCCGTTTGATTCCGGAGCACACGCATACGCGAAGCTGCGCGATGCAAGTGCCAGGAACCTATCACCTGATGGACGAGCGCGCAAGAGCCATGTTTCCCAGCATGAAGCGGGAATTGTCAGGGGAAGAAAATGCGCTGCGGGGAAGCCTCGAGAACAGCCCTGAGACGACATCGACGACAACGACATACGGAAGCGCAACTGCTTGAGAAGCCCTCCGTATGTGTATCACAAGAATCCGCCACGGAAAGGAAAGAGGAGGGAGAAACAGACCAGGGCTTTTGCAGTAGACAGCGGGTGCACATCAGTCTGCAACGGAGTTATCAGACTGAGATCGCAGGCAGGCTTTTGGATCGCTTCAGTGGTGTCGCGCAGTTCGCACGGGACCGAGAATTGATTTTCAGTTTGGTGCGATGACTTGTCTACGTTAGGTGCGCCTACGCAAGACTTTGTTGCGCAATGGTAGCAGTGCTGCACGAAGCAAGCTGGATGCTGCGCTGCGTCGGCTCAAGCAGTGTGCCCTTGCACCGGTCCATGCCCAGAGCTTGGAATGTCTGTGATGCTTTTCTCAAGAGAATGTTTGCCCAGAGCCGCTTTGGACTCGAGCAATGCTTTCGAAGGTCCATTAGCTGCTGCTGTTTCTCCGAAATGGGATCCGGAGCATGCAAAGGTGTGTGTGTGGCAGTCCAGGCAGGGCATGCATACAGCTTCCAAAGCCCACTGTCTTTTCACAAGAGCAAGATGTTGCTATTGCGCAACCCTTGATGGACTAGCCTCGTGCATTGTCCAAGAACCTCAACATCACATCTGCCCAGCTGTGGATTTGTGAGCACATGCAACCCATACTGCAGGATGCTTCTGACGACGACTTGATGCAGTTCTTCTCAGCATGGCCCTCCGAACAGCGTAAGCGCGTCAGTGGCCTTCTCAGCAGCTGCAGCAAGAAAGGTGGGGGCCAGGGGCTGAACCTAGACATGCCTTTAAAAGATGGTATGAGATGGTTCTGATTTTGGGGGCCTGGCTTGGCCGCAGGGACCGCCGACATCGACGCGGCTATTGCAGAGGCTGAAGACGCCGTCGCAGCTGAAGGCATGAGCATTGCCCATGGAATGAAGCGCTAAGGGAGTACCGCAGGCCAGCAGTTTGGATGCTTAAGGTATTGTTCTGCATCAGGTAAGAAGGCTGAGGCTGCAAAGCCTGGAGGAGCATCTGATCAGCCGCTTTCCAGCAGGGCTTGTTCGCGTCTACGTAAGGGGCCTGCTGCTAACCTCTTTGGAGAAGCAGCTTGTCCAGCACTTGCCATGTCAAGTTGTCCAAGGACGGAAAGTGCCGCTGCAAAGGCACAGGCTACCAAGACGCTAGATGAAAAACAGGTGAAACAGGTGGGGCAAAGCAGCTGACACAACATAGACAGCAGACAAGAATCGCTGGTCTTGACTTAAGGTGCACTCGGCCATTCGCTGGGGCAAGCCTGCAGAGGAAATCCAGAAGGCAGGCAAAGTGCACGGTGCAAGTTGCTGCAAGCAACCCGAGACCCTGGCAGATTGTAAAAGATCTTGGCATCGATGCGACCATGACCGATGCAGCTGCAGCTGCTCGGTGGCATTAACAGCTTGCGCATTCTGGTAATAACCAGACTGTGGCTGTTGCATGCGGCTTCAGGCCCTGGGTTCTAGATACGCAGACTGCGAGGAAAACTTCTTCCAAAACTGCTGCTCGGTAAACTGGCCTTTGCCCATAAGTGGGGCATAGGCTGTAGTGTAGGATATGGGGCAGAATCAAGAGCATTTCTAGCAACCTGCCTCCTTATCCAGTGTTTCGAGGACGCGTGGTCCCTGGGGGGACACGAGGGGACCGTGCCGAAACATTGTAAAACCAGCCGTAGACGAGCCTGGTGCTTGGTGCTTGTTGGACAGCGCTGAGTTCCGTTGGCCGGGATAGACTTGCAGCCTGGTTCAAGGGTGGAGTGCCAATCAGACCGACAGTACAGGATCCACAGAACCGCGGCATTGGACAACCCTTCCTCAATTTTTCAATGGTTTGTTAGTAGCAGCGGTTTTTAGCACAGGCAGTGGATTCGCAGAACGGCAACCTGGCCTTACACATTGCTGCGCAGAACGGGCACATGGGACTGACACGCTTTTTGCTGGACAGCCGTGGCCTGGCTGCAAGAGGTCCTGGCTTGAATCCAGGAGGTTGCTGTGGTTGATGAGGTCAGCTTTTGTGCGAATTATAGAAGTTATCAAAAGGTGGTGCAAGCAATAAGAATTCAGTCCAGGCGAAGGTATGATCACCGTCCTGAAGCTAAGTACCCTAAATGCATCATGCTTTGTGAGGCGAGAACTCGAATTCTTTGTTTAGAGACTGCCAGACGGACAGCTCTGCCCTCTTGTGGCCTTTCGCCAAGGATGTCCTCTCTCGGCGGCATCAATAGGCCCAAGTAGCCAAAACTAATCTAGGCCATCATCGAATCAAATCTATCCATATGCTTGCCCACATGCAGAAGGCATGGGAAGCCCACAGCTCCAGTAAAGGACGTTTCTTGTCGAGTAATTTCAGCAGGGTGTCATGCCTGGAATATTCTGGAACAGGACAGCCAGTGAGAACCTACTCTAAAGTCACACCTCCCTGTGACGTAACGCTGACATGCTGCCATGATTGAGCACATGCGCTAGAGTAGCTAGAGCCCCGATTTAATTAAGAACTGTCTGTGAGGTGCTAACGTCAACGCGCAAAACTTCAATGGCCAAACGGCTCTGCACATGAGCGTGGAGTATGAATCTTGGCTGTCTAATTCAGCTGCCCCTGACATATCCCAAAATGTGGGTGCGTGTTTGTGCCAACTCATATTCACAAGGACAGCCATACATATGTGTGGTCAGACATGTTGTTGAGGCCACGCTTGGTAAAATATATTCTGCTGTGTTCTGCTCTGAAGGGTAGGACACAGCATGAGGCTAAGGCTGCCTCGTTACCTGAACGCACAAAAGGACGTTCAAGTCAACTGCAGATGTGGTACAGATACATCAAACAAAGCTGATCAGCACATCACGGGCCTTCGAATCGAGAATGCAAAAACTTACCAAGATTCAATTGCGAAAGGCCCCAGCGCACGCAACTGCCGGATCATACGGCTTCGATCAGTAATTGAAAAGCTTATCTGGAAAGCTTGCCGCAAGGGCCTTGATGCACAGGAGCCCTTGAGATTGATAAAATCATTGGCCGAACGACGAGCGGTTGGTTTGACAGCAGGCCTTCAGTGCAGAATTTGTAGCAACTTTTTGGACTGGCTAGGTTGCCAAAAGGCTTCTTACGTCTGACCCCAGCCTCTCCACTACTCTATTAGTAATATAATTTACTGTTATTACTAGTATTAGCGTTACTGCTGCTGCCACGGCTACTGCTACTGCTACTACTACGACGACGACGACGACGACGACGACTACTACTACTCCCACTCTATGCATGGCACGTGGGTGAGACTTGGAGCTTGCAGCTAGGACATGTACTTCCAGACCAAGCTACTCCTGGATGCCAAAGCAGACCCAAACCTGGAAAACAGCGGTGGCCACAAAGCCCTCACAGGCAGGCTGGCAGCCATGAAGGTATAATGTAGTATAATACAATAGAAGATAGTAGAATGTAGTATAGTATAGTATAGTATAAGCATTCTTTACATTTGGCATGGAAGTTGCAGGGAACAGCCAAAGCCATTTGGAGTTTCCCAAAAGCAGGGGTACCATTTTGGGGGTCCCCATAATAAGGATTGTAGTATCAAGGGTTCTATATTGAGCTCCCCTAATTTAGAAAGTACCATTCTGAGGAGCCTGGCATGCACACGTGTGTCTGTTTTCTCAGAGGCCTGGAGGGTGCGAAGACCGGCCAAGATGCCTGGGACAACCCAATGAACATCCTCAAAGCTGCCAGCGACACTGAAGCTCCTAAGCTGCACACTATCCAAACCTGAGCATTTCCCATATGAGCCGTAGTCTAAACTCCTTAAAGGGTGTTATACATGGAGGCATGTCTACGGGAGTATACACTGGGCAAGAGTTTGACTATAGCTCTTATTGTCATTGCTTAGTACCAAAAAAGCTCTTGCACTTGGCAGGAAGAGCTCAAGCTTGCTTTTGACGCTTTGGCTGCCGCTGACGCAAAGGACAGCGGGTGTGGAATTTCACAGATTACGGTGCTGGTCGGTAGCAATGTCAACTGTTGGCCAGTGCTGTTCGCAGCATGCGCAGACTAGCCCATGTTGTAAACATTTGCTCCTGCCCCAGTTGTTGCAATGAGATGCCGCGCGCCTTATATGATGTTTGCTTGATGGATGTTGCAGTGGCAGCTGGACGCAGCAATGGGTATAGGTGGGATCACGTCAATTTCATATTGGCTAGACTAAGCCTGGTGACTACACTCATTTGGAATGTTGCCAAACAGATGCCACAAAGTTAAGTCTAGCAAGCTCAGCCAGGACTTGGACCGAGTGGTGTTGGCTCAAACAGGCGCCATGCTTTCACGTTTTCGTTGGGGTCATGCAGATTGCTTGGGCTTTTGTGCGTCGATTTCCATTGCTTAGGCATGCGAAAGCGCAAGCAATGTCCGCAGAATTGGAATGCTGATCGCTTCAAGGATGGGGTAGACTTTCAAGTCTTGATGACCACAGCTTTCTTACAGTATTGCCAAGCAGTTATCACGTGTCACCAGGACATCATGCAAAAGTTCTGATTGGCAAGTTGATGGGCTCACTCAATGCCAGCGCTTCCCGGCGGCGCTTCGTGATATGTAATTCATGCCTTTTCCCTTAAGCCTCCTTAGCAACATCGTGGACGGTTAAGGGAGCAAGAAGGCTTTGAGAGGGTTGAACTTGTGCAAAATGAAACTGCGCCTTCAGCCTCTCAGGCGTATGATCAGCATGCGAGGGAATAACCTTCTTCTGTTTGCAGCTGAGGGTCTGCTGAAAATGAGACTCTAAGCTGTTGACAATTTCTTGCATTGAGGTCCCAACTGCCAGGGCAAGCTACATTGCTGGTGAGGCCTCGTTCATTAGCATGCTGTGCTGGCTCGCCTGCAGGGTCCAGAATGGACCCTGCAACAGCAGGATGCCATCCGAATATTGTATGGTCGGCATTAGCCAGCTTTTATCTTGAAAGCTGCGCTCTGCAGAGAAGACTTAACAAATAATGGCTAAACTGTTATAGACTTCATGCATTTGACCCTTCATCCTGCTGACTACCCGATGTATCTGCCGACATGCGCCTGCCCAAAATCGGACATGTTGCTAACGGCAGGGCACGTAACATGAGAAAAGGAAAGCTAAAACTTGCAAATGATATGACACCACGGATTACATCATTCAAGTTGCAAGCATTGCGGGAGTTTATTCAGCTGTGTTGCGTTGCCCTGCCCCCACCTTTCCTGCAGCTGCGAAACGGCTGCAATGCAGCAGCCTGTGTACCTCCATTGCATTTTTTACGAAGGCTGCTCCATCGTGCTGACTTAGCCAATTCTGTCACGTCACATGTCTCCGTGCTCCCAGCTGCCGGCATGTGATAGTTTGCATAGCTGTAGATAACGTTGGAAAATGAAATTTCGGCAAGCTGAAGATGATAGATCCTGCCCAAAGACGCAGGGTTGCGAGAAGCGGACAGGCATGTGTCGCTCGTTTAGACAGGGTTTTCTCTGCGGAGGGAAGCACCCATAATTGTTTTTTTGTGCAAAGGATCGTGCCATACCCGCTCATTCATCTACGTCTCAACCGTACCCTTGCTGCTATGGCAGCCGTCTTTCACCCTTTGTTTCCTAAGGTCTCGAGGTCGTTAGCGAATCCCGCAGACGGCCCGGTGAGCTGTGTATGCAGCAAATGGTCTTACATGGAGTTGGCTCATAGGTTCCATGTGAATTCTGCGGCTAGACGCGGCAGTAAAACTTTGAGACTGTTTGCTGTCCCTGGTCCACATGTACATGCTTTAGCCGGCTCCCATAAAGCTGGTATGCTTGATGGACCTCGCGTGTGCCAACATTATGCAAAAGAAGACGTGCTGCAGATACTGACAGTGCAGCGTGAATTGGGGCGCAGGGGCTCATGAAGTGCTGTGCAATTTAGAGTTAAGATGTCAACACCGATTGTATATAGAAACAGACAAAAGGCACTAGGCAAACTTTTTTTGTCAATTTTTGCCCTTTGGTCATCTGACTTGTCTTGAGGCCTGGCTGCTAGCCACTTGGAAGCTGTGCGAGAGGTGCCACCGTACGAGCTGTGACAGCCAACTTTCTGCAAGAGTTGACGAGTTTGCATTTTATGTCGTCCAGACCAACATGAAGCGATAATATTTTCCCGCGAGCTGCGCGGATCGCACAGGACCTTCTTCAAGCTCGCGCAAGGCGAGCAGCAGTAGCCCCAGCTAGACTGCAAGACTCGCGCTCATGGGCTGCATGGTTGTGTTTCCAACAATATGCCTGGGGCGCCCTTAAAGAAGCAGCAGTCATGGCGCATCAATGTGCCAAGTCAGCCGCAAGTTTTGCTCAAACTGTGCTGCAATGACGCTGCCATGGCTTGTTCGACACGGAATCTCCACCCGGCAGGTCTTTAGACTTCTCCCTCACTTTGCTGTACTGCATTAAGCTTGCCATTTTTGTTTCATAAACTGCAGCGAGCAACGAGCGCATTTTTTTCGCGGAGAACTGGCTGCCTGCTGACTATCAACCAAGCAATGAGGCACAAACACGGCGCCAGTCCCTGGGGTTGCCCCCCCCCCCCCCCCCCCCNNCCCCCCCCCCCCCCCCCTACCCTTCAGGGTTCCAACCCAAACCCAAACAGCCAAGACCGTGTTGCTGGACCTTTGCATTTTTGCTCGTCGCTCCCACCGCCATGGAGGGGGCCAAAGTGTACGTCCAAGATGCAAGGAGCCTGGGATTCAAGTCCAGATTAAGCTTCTTAAGGCTTGCAGCTGTGTTGCTTGTCGCATCATTTGCCCCACGGCTGAAGCTGCCCCCGTGCCCGCAGCATCGCTCAGCACTTTGATGGGTGTCCTGCAGGGGATCCTGGCAGCGGGGTACCGTCCAATCTGCTTTGGGAGCAGGCAAATACCAGGTGCAAGCCAAGAGCCGACAGATTTCTTAGACAATGGATCTTTTGTTCTTGAGTCAGGTGGCGTTGCAGGGCTGGGAGGAGGATGAGGGTCAGCAGACAAGCCAAGCCATGGAGGCGAGATGCTGCGAGCGGCGCTGCGAGCGGCTTGTGACAGACTGTCTATTGTATGAATGCCCAACCTCCTGTCTCCTGTGGCAGGTCGATGCCTCAAACATGGAAGGTGGAATGTTGCCTTTTCAGAATTCCGACATGCCAAATAATGGCTTCCCGGTGGGGCTCTCAGAGGTGACCTCACCTTCTCAGCTAACAATAAGGCTGTAGCTAGCTGATGCTGCGTTTGCATGATGACATATTTTTCTATGGACGCCAGTAGCTAGTATCCCAGAACAAGCAACTTACCAGCAGGATTGCCCAGGAACAACTCATGAGAAAAGGACCCCTAGTTGCGCCTACTGGAATCCCTGGATCAGTGTGCCACTTGCAAAGGACATGACCACCTTGGACCACTTGCACGAGCCGGCCCTGTTGCATAACCTGCGCCGGAGGTTCTTTTCCCAGGCGTTCGTTTACTGGGTTGCACCTGATCTGTGTCAGCCCGGGCTGCTCATGTTTCGGGTGCTTTGAGTTGATCAGCTGATGGGCTGCCTTCTGACGGCTCAAAACTTTTTCACCGTAGCCACCAAATGGCCCAGAAAACAAGACCTAATGTGCAAGCTCATCTCCAACTAGCTTTATCCTTTCTATTCGAAGCTTGGGCCACGCAATTCTTCAGACATAAGCCCAATTGGCCAAGCTGCCACTCCAGTTGCCATGGGCGGTTCCGTGAGTGGCGCCGTTGCGGCAACAAAATGTTGCCAGGTTTGCGACCCGAACAACGAGCATTCACTCGAGGTGGATTCCACAGAGGATAGGCGCTTGCTGACAATTGCTGACATGCGAAGGTGATTTTGGAGAAGGAGCTGTAAACAGAATGTCTTTAGCAGGAGTTTGCGGCCAGACCCTGGAATGATGAGAGCCTGGTCGCCACAGGCAGGGGAGTGGTTTCCAGCAGGAGAGATGCCGGGCACTTTGCATTTCATTTGGGACCTTGGCAGTTCTGGCTTTCAGATCAAGTGGCCGCTGTTCAAATTCTGGCAGGTGCGCGGCAAGGACAGACCTTGTTGGACACCCTTCAAGGAAAGTGGTACCGAAAGGAAGATGGCCAGCCAGTTGGTCACATATCTGGAGCACTTCGGACCGAACTGAGTTGCAATTGTGGTCTGAACTGCTTAAAAGTGCTTTCAACTTATGTTTGCGAGTGCGGGTCTAAGCGAGGCCTACTTCATCTGGAATCCCCGGTGGAAATTTGCGGAAGTGGTATCACCCATTTTCGAGGATCTCTCAGGACCCGACGTGCAAAAGTTGTTGAGAAGACTACATGCTGATAAGCGTGTTCATCGGGTAGCAGTGTAGCAGCGATTAGCAGTTTGAGGCTTATCCCAGACCTCCCCGGACCCAAATGCAGGGATAGATTCGGAATGAGCCGCCCACGCCGCAAAGCCCTTGCCAATCAACGGATGAGGTGGTCTTTTGCAATGTCGCAATTCAAGTGCTGCGAGCCATGCGGAGGAGCCCTGGTGATTGAACTAGAGAACCAGCTCCACTTCGGTCGGCCTTTCTTCGGCCCTGAGACCTTGATCAGCTGGGGTGACGGTGACCTTTGGGTGAAGCAGTGAGAGCTTGTTGAAATTCGTTCCATAGAGGACTGGATGACAGGGCTTTCTGAGCAGGGTCCAGTAATTCTTGCGCAGCCAGATGCACGGCGAAATCTACATCTCAGTCCTCTGCGGGATGGTTGTGACAGTAGATAGGGCTGGCTGATGAACAACCCCTGCAGCTGCAACTGTCCTGCTGTTCAGGGTAAGCAATCACAATTTCAGCTTGTTGCAGCTGGAGACCTGTCCAGACTCGAACTCCGAGCTGGCACTTTGAAGCTTAGATGCCAAAGGTTGTGATTCCTGGTTCTGTGTGCTCTGTAGCGGTGGCTCATTTTCGCAGAAGTGGGTGCGTGCCCCCTAGTTTCACTGACTCACACCTAGCGTGCACCACCCAAGCAAACAGGCAGGGTTCTTCATGGCTTTCATGCCGGGTGGCACGGACCAGGAATCAGCATTGCTTCTGGAAGCGCAGACATGTCTGATTCGCGCCTGGCATGAAACAACAGATCCTGCATAGGGCGCCATGCTGTTTCAGGTACTTACCATGCCCCGTGCCAGATCTAGCATGTTGAGCGCTGAAAAGGCGTCATGCTTGCTTTTGCCAATGCCTGAAGGCATGTCCATATACCTACACGGCGGACATTGTCATTGCAATGAATCCATACCGCCACTTGACAGCTTTCTGCCTTCTATCCAACAATACGCCGTGCGAACTGCGCGCGAGGTTGGTTTCCGGAGCTGTACACAGATGAGAAGAGAAAGGAATACCTCGTTTTTGAGCGTCCGAAACTGGACCCACATGTGCAACCTGACTGCTACCACTAGAATCTCTCGCGAACGTTCGCAGCACGCCATTTGATAATGGTAGGTGGGCTTACCACTGACGGAGGTACACCACTTCGTCATTTGCCTACTCAGGCGCATGAGAGAGACTACGGTTGCATCAGAATGTACCATCACAGCAGTGCTAGAGACAAAGAGATGGCGAGAGAGGCAGTGCTGTCAAGACACAGGTTGGCAACGTAGTTGCTTTCAGGCCTTCAGGAGACGAAGTCCAACCAAACCATCCTGGTCTCTGGAGAGTCTGGCGCGGGCAAAACAGAGACGGTGAAGCCACTTGGCATCAAGCCTCCCAAGCCCACTCTCAATCACCCACAGACGTTTGGAACTTTGGCAAACCTTCAACATTGCTGTAAACGGTCCAGGCCAATCATTCGCTGAGCTGGCATGTCAGACTGAAGAGTTGCATGATGGTCCTGCTGACTAAGGATTTTGATGGCCCACTTGGCCTTCATGGCTGCGCAGCTGCAAAAACTGGCTTGCACGACAAGGCGGCACAATGCGTGTCAAATAAAGAGTGGCAGAAGGTGAGTGAGGCAAAAAATCAGTTCGGAGTACCTTGAAAAGTTAAGCTGCATATCTCTCTTCCGTGCTTGCAAATAATACCATGCCTTGGTCATGTGCCGAGCGGGGACTGTCATGCGTATCACGCCATCACCTGGCTTGCCGTCTTTTGTCATCAGCTTGCTTTGGCCCGTAGTTAGCCAAGGCTTCATCAGATGTTCCTGGGCTGCATTGGGGCTCAGGCCATGGCAGCACTGTTTACCTAAGTGTGCTCCTGCTACCAGGATACATCGCACATCAAGCGAATCGTGGAGTCGAACCCTTTGCTTGAGTCCTTTGGCAACGCGCAAACAGCATGGGCCTCAGTGCATGGGGACGACGGACTTGACGGACGGCGTCCCTGTGCCTTCAAGAAGATGTGAATTTGGACAAAGGAAAAACAAGACTTCCAGCATGCCGGCGCACAAAAATCCAGACCCTGGCAGGTGCGCAATGACAACTCAAGCCGGTTCGGCAAGTTTATTGAGTTGCAGCTCAACGAAAGTTGCCGACTGGAAGGCCATGACTTTGAGCAAAGCTCTGAAAAGTTGCGAGACCTCCGCAAGTTGAAGTCACCAGCCTTGTGAACACATGCAGCCTGCCTGTTTTGAGTACCTTCGCTACTGTCCGCCTAAGCTCTCCGCGTAGATGCTGGAGCAAGCTTGAGAGATTGCAGACCAGAGGGGTGCAAATTCTTTTCGCACCGACAGGTTCCAAATGCAGGACCTACCTGTTGGAGAAATCACGAGTGGCCACCCATCAGCAGGAGTTCGAGACGCCTCAATTTGGCAAAGCTGTCTGCAATCTTCTGCAGCATTGGGGTCAGCCAAGGTTGGTCAGGATTCCGGCGCATCTTGGCGGCAAACTGTTTGCTGTTGCAGCAGTGTGCAGCAAGATGTTAACACCACCTGCCTTATCCCCTGCCCCATAGGTACATGTCACCTTACGTATTGGCCCACCCCAGAACCATTCAGAGCAGAGATGACAAGCCTCAGGCTGGAAGAGACCCTAACGTGACAGGCTAGCCACAACAAACGGGCACTATACGCTCAGTCAGCCCATGATAGGGCCTCAGGTGTGAAACCCTCGTCAAAATTTCACCTAATCTGGGCACTTGAATTGAGATGTCGTCGTCAGACTTGCGACAGTCTTCGTGCCCCTAGGAGCGGAATTTCCATATCTTTTATCAGATGCTTGCAACTGACGCAGAGACTCGCGCAGCGATTGGCCTTGGCAACACCTCATGGTCCCGTGATACCCTCAGATACACCAGCTGCCTGGCTGATTGGAGGGGTGTTTGACCCATGCTGGCTTCTGCAAGAGAAGGGTGGCCCAGATGTTTCCCCCAAACACATTGCCTTTGCCGGAACTCAGGCATGGGCGCTTCCAAAACCGACACCATCGAAGGAAAGAGTGATGCGGAACGTTTTCATGGCAGGGCCCTCTGTCTTGCTCAGTGGTAGCCAAATCGCTTGCAGCACATGCTAGCACATTTGAGTCTCATTCTAAGTATGTCCAAGATATGCATAAATGCACGTTGGTTCCTACGTAAGCTTTAATGTCTGAAGTTGCTTGTTGTGATGCCAGAAATAGCAAGAAGACTCCCACAATTTGGGAGCAGCACAGCAGCCACGGTCATTGCAGAGATCCTGTCAGGCACTGTATCAGCTCTGGCCCTACTTTCCATCGATGGGGACAAACTCAACCGCTTGCTACGAACATTGGCATCGGTGCTGCTTCTTGGGCAGCCTCTTGGCATAGAAGCACATCGCCCACACCCTGCCCCTGCCAGGATTTGCCAGACTCTGTTTGTCCCTTGTGCCATCCCCACCCAATGCGACATTCATGCCATGCTAAGCAGCGTAGCTTGCGCCGACTTGCGCCTGCTTGATTTCGAGCTTTGACAGGCTGGAGTTCACGGGCAGCTGCTTGCCAGCAGCTAAATATTTGTTCTCTTCAGTTGTTGCCAGCTGCTGCACCCTTTTGAGTACTCCGTTAAGATGCAAGCATGTCACTTCAAAGGTCTGCTTCCCGCAAGCTCTAAGCAAATGGCAAGCCAAGCTTGCAAGCAACTACGAGCGAAAACAACGCAGCTTGTGCTCATCAATGTCATGTCTCCTCTCCCAACCCTAAGATTGAAAATTACTTTGCGCATCAGCTAATAGAACATTTCCTCAAGAATCCCAGCAGCAGCAGAGAAATCTTGCTGCAGGCGAGGAGTCTTCTCAACTTGCAGGCTCCGAGCACGCTGCCGCTGCTGCTGAGGTACTGGCTGTGGATGCAGCATGTCGGGATTCAGAGCAGCAATGCATGTACAAGTCAAAGGGGCAAGCACGTTTCTTGTGTTTTCAAGCTGCACCTACCTGGCCCTACGTGTTTTGCTCGAGGTTGGCGAGCTTGAGCCGCTTGCCTTTGAGTATGTCATGTCTGTAAGATTTGATCTTGAAACCGGGTAGGCTCACTCTTTGGTGAATCCCCCCTGGTATTTGAGGCGCGCTCTTACACACCGCACGCTTCGTATGCGGAACGAAGTCGTTGTAAAGCAGCTCCCTCCGTCAAGCGCGACCGGCAACCGTGCCCTGCCTAGCAACAACGACAGCAAGTCTGCTGAACTGCTGAACGCCAGGTTGTAGCCAAGTGTTCGCAGCAGCACGCAGTATTTAAGAACTTTAAAGGTAGGTGACGCCAAAAGTATTGAAGGCTGAGACAATCCTGGATGCGTAGTGGTTACTGTGGGCTGCCACGCAAAGTAACGAGTTTCACATCCTCTGACATTGCTAGCAGCATCTGATTTGCGGAGACATGGGTGCCTGTTGCGACGACGGGGTGAGGTGATGCGCTTGCAAAGGAGATTTACGCACGAGTGCCCGGCTCTCGGCAATGCCCATAAAAAAAAAGAGGTCCATTTGCCAAGTGGGTTCTCAGACTGACACGCTGGTAGCTTAAGGTTTGATTGGCTGGTGGATCAAATCTGTCTTGCAACTGGAGCGCCACCTGAGCGCGCTCGGAGCTTTGTCGGTAGCCTGTATGCATTCAGCAGGTGTCACCCTTTTGTGCGCTCGGCATGCCTATTAGCGCATTCCTAACTGTTGCAGCCAAGGTTTGTTAGAGACTTGACTGCATGACCAAGACATGACGCGAGATGCCACTTGCTCAGCCACGGCTGAAGACTGCTCCAGCTCCGAGCAAAGTGCGCATGCATACCTTCAAGCAACCAGGGGCTGTGCCAGTCGCAGTCACTCACGGGTGTAGTGCTCGCAAGTTGTCCAGAACCTGTCTTTGTGCGGCAAGTGTTGGATCAAAACCAAGGATATCTTTGGATTTGAGTCCTTCGCCATCAATCGCTTCGAGCAGCAACTTGGATCCTGCCTACTTCCAATGCCCTGCCAGTGTGTTAGCGCCATGCAATACAGCGACGGTACTTCCACAACTAAGGCTTTGTATTAACTATGCTAACGAGAAACTGCAGCAGAAGTTCACCCATGATGTCTTCAAGGCTGTGCAGCAGGAATATACTGCTGAATCTTGCATGCAGCCAGCCTGCTTTGAAATTGACCCCAGGTTGATCCAACGGCTTGTTTTGATTGTATGGCAGGGTCATGAAGCATCATCTTCCCTAGCCAGACTACACAGCAAGTAGGCCAGGCGTTGAGGCGCAGCAGATTGCCAGGACCTGGTTTTAGAGACTGTGACCTGCTTGAATCCCAGGAAGGGATCCCTTGGGATCGCATTGAATTCAAAGACAATGCTCCGATTTTGGCTTTGAAGCTTGGCTTAGTGGCCCACAGGCACCATTTAGCAGCAATCAGACATGTACAGTCGCGGCAAGAGCAGGCAAGACTATCTTGGCATGAAATAAATCCTGAATATTTTCTGTCGGGGTCAGGGCATAGACTTGCAGCATGTACCTCATGTTGAGGGTCGAGTCCAAGCTGGGTATCGTGGCCATGCTGAACGAAGAGTGCGTTCGGCCAAAGGGCTCCAACCAGAGCCTTGGATGCACCGGCGAACACCACAAGTGTGTTCCGATTGCTGGCTCTGTTGCATGCTGAGGAACTTTGTCTCAAAGCTTCTCTCGGTACACAAAGAGGATCCAGCTTTCTCCGTGCCCAAACTTGGCAAGATGAGAAGCTTGGCCTCTTCAGAAGTGGGCATACCTCAACAGCTTGCTTACATTTTTGTGACAGAAAGGAGAGCTGCAATTCTGCATCCGCCACTACGCTGGCGAGGCCTATGGAAGTTGTTTGGTAGGCTTTGCTGCAAGTCTTCCGTTGATATGCGGAGCCTTGAGGTGATGTACACAGCAGAGGGCTGGCTAGACAGGAACAATGACGCTGTTTCAGAGGACAGGGTTACTGACATTTGCTGACAAAATCTGAAGAGGTACTTGGATGCCCAGGATGGGACTGGGATGAGGGCCATCAAGCATTTAGCCACTTCTGTTGTGTAGCTTGCGTTTGTGAGCAGGATGTTATCAGCTTGATGCGTGGCTCGGGAAACGAGCTCTTGGCATCGCTTTTTACAGAGGACGCAACAGCATTGTCATGTTGTTCCCTGTATGCCCTGGGTTCTGAAGCGCAAGGAGTCCAAAGCAAAGCGGGACACCGTGACTCAGTAGCATTAGCCAGGCCTGACGATCACAGCAGTTCAGATTGGATTGAACATTGATAGTGGATATCGGGCAAGCTTGCTGACCAATGCAAGGTAGTTACGAAGTTCAAGACGTCTCTGTCCCAACTGATGGAAACCATCGGGCAGACGAGCACCCAATATGTCAGGCACGGGCTTGGTGTTTTGATGCTATAGAAGTGCGACCAATACCTGCTCAGTAGCTGCGTGAAAAGCGGACATATCATTGTCAGACATGCTGAAGATCCTGGCTGCTGGTTTTCAGGTGCATCAAGCCCAACCAGAACAAGTCACCCAAAGAGGTCAACAATGCAGCACAGCGGCCAGAGTGCAGAGAAGAAATGCGATCTAGTAGCCCCAGCTGAGGAGATGGTTGTCGATCAGCAGCTCGTCGAGAAGGAGCATTTGTTTAAGGATCAGACTTGCGAAAGCGAGAAGGTCGAGTGAGCAGTTGCAACTTTAGCAAAAATAATCTTGTAGAGATCACCACCCAATGCCATGAAGTGGAATTCCATACCCTTGAATCTCTTGAATTGAATTGCCTGGTGGACACAAAGTAATTTCTTGAACATGAGTTACGTTTGAAGTTAACTCTGGCATACTTCCTTGAAAGCAACGAGAAATTGTGCGGATAACCAAACTCAGGTTGCGCTGCGCAGGCGTCATAGAAGCCATCCGCATCTCTCGAGCAGGCTTCCCTGCAAGGATGCCCTTGAAGGCGACTTGCATTTTCTTGTAAGTGGCAACAAGGTAGATGCTTTGTTTTCTTTCGTCGCTAGCAGATCCTCAACCAAGGATTTCTCTCAACGCTTCCTCTTGCTGGTGCAGACCTACTCTGCAGCCTCTTTGGCACGTCACGCAGAGAAAGCTGCAATAGCGCTCTGCCCAGTAATACATTCCTCTCATATTACGTGTGGATGATTCTGTGTTTTGCGTTCCTGCCTGATGAGCCAGAGCTCTCAGGCGCGTGGTGGCGACGATGCTTCGACATGCCGAAAGCTGCTCGGGGCGTTGGTGAAAGTTGAGGAGAAGTACCAGGTCGGCCGTACTCGCGCGCCTCAGCTTTAATCTTCAACAGGCACGGCCCGCTGACCATGTGGTTTCGGAGCTATGAAGGTCTATTTCAAGAGTGGCGTTCTGGAGTCATTGGAAGAGAGACGCGCTCTTCTGAAACTTGGCTTCAGCGGTTGTGCTGCTCAATTAAAGACATCTGTGTGTGATCACCAAATCTCAGGATGCAAGCCGCGGCAGTTGAGCTCGGGCGCTTAGTTGGCCAAATACAGCCGATTCTCTCCACCATCCCTGACTGTCCTTTTTTTGGCAAGTGGCACTTGCTATAGCATACGAGGCTGGCGCGAGTGGTGCGCGGTCACCAGGTGAAGAAGCAGTTCCGACAAATGCAGCAAGTTGCGAGGCCTTCATGCAGTGGAGCCGAGCTTCAGTTGTCAGCCTTTCACCATGCAACTTCCCGCTGCAGCATGATCAAAATGCACACTGAAGATCTAAAAGATCCGTCATTTGCATCTGAAATCCATTGGGTGGCATGCTTGGCAGCGATTGCTTTTGCTTTGGTCCCTGGTCCAGGTGCACGCAATCCATGTGGAGGATGACCGTGGCTAGAGCAGTTGCTCGGTAGGCGAGCATGTCAGGCTACCGCACTCAAATTCCGTCCATCCTGCTCAGACATGATAAGAGTTGGTACCTAAGTAAATGCGCACTGCTTAATTGCACATGTGAATTTGCATAGTGAGGTGTGTATGCGTATGGATCAGCATTTTGCTCAGTTGGTCGCATGTAGGTCTTGAAAATGAAGTCGCCAACCCTTCAAGAAGACTCAGGCTTTCCAACGCGTGCGGCGGGTTGTCCTTTTCTGCTGCAGCCTCAGACCGATCAACTGAGACTCACTAGCCTCTGCTCAGCGAAAATAGGTACAAAGAATTGTCTTGAGAGCGAATCGGATGCTTCAGTTTTTTGGTCTGAATGGTTGAACCATGTGAACAGCATTCTTGGCTCAGATCAAGTTGGTCTCTGGCACACCCTGGTTCCTCGCGGCAGCGTATTTGCAAAGCCATGGCAAACCCCACCGCGACTTTTGAAACCACAATGGGAACCTTCACCTGCGAGCTGTTTCTTGACCGAGTTCCACGCACCGTTTCGAACTTCGTGGATCTTGCTCAGTCTGGCTTCTACAATGGCATTCACTTCCATCGAGTTATCCCGGGCTTCATGAATCAGTTCGGCTGCCCCTACGCGAAGGATCCCAAGTCATCTCGTGCCGGCACCGGTGGACCACCGGATGGAACGTTCAAGAATTTGAAGACAGGAGCAACAGAGACACGAACCAGGGGTGGCAACATCCAGGATGAAAACATCTCCAGGGACAGCAACAAGCCAGGCACCCTCTCCATGGCTAACACGGGTGAGCCCAACACCGGAGGGTCCCAGTTCTTCATCAACGTGGCGCACAACAGTTTCCTGGATTGGTTTGACAACTCCAGCCCCTCGCAGCACCCAGTCTTCGGCCAGGTGACTTCCGGCATGGACGTGGTTGAAGCAATCTCCAAGGTGCAGACGCGCGATGACAACCCCATCAAGCCTATCATGATGAACAAGATCACCATTTCCTGAGCTTAGATGGGCTGTGAACCTTGCGGATGCTAGGTTCCAAGCCTCTCTTGAACCCGTGTGGCTTTGGCACAAGACCCTTTTGACCAGCTGGTGGCATTGCCACCGTTGCCAGCCACCGCGGCTATCAATCCCAAGCTATCAATACCAGTGCGGAAGCACGTTCCTAGTCTTGTCGACAGCCCTGGCAGGCATCAAACAGCAGGCAATGTAAAAGTCGCGTCAACCTCTCGAATGGGCCATTTGCGTTTGCATTTGCATATGTTTGCTGTTTTCACCGTGGCACTTGGCATCAATTGTGCTGTTTGCCGTCTATATGGAGGTCAGACGAAGCGTCGAGCACTCTTGGCAGCAAGGAGGCGCGGAGGCTAAGTGGCTCTGAAAAGAAGAAGATCTACTGAAGGTTGAAGGACACTTATCGTAAGTTCTGCCTGGCAATTATCTCAGCAGCCTTGGCAGCAAGGAGAGCACGGTATGATCGACCTCAGTTTACCGCAGTAGTTATAATCATGTCTGGTCGTGCAAGCCTTCCTCATTGTCCAGGAGTACGTAGTTGCAGCAACCCAGCAGCTTTGTGCAGAGCACCATGAGGGATCACTCGAGGTTTCGCCAAATGGCTATGCTTTCAAATCAAGACGGCCCATAATGATATGATGAAATGCGGTATGCGGCATGCGAGGCTGGTGCTACTAGTACTGTAATCTTAATTTTCCTGAGAATTTGAGATCATTTTGCATTTGAGTGCCCTACACCCGGAAAGGCCAAAGCCCACTTCAAACAAAAACCATCTCCTACGCACGTTTAAGATTTGTTTGACATTTGACTGATCTTTAGTTGCCCAAAGAGAACCCCGTGACTTACAATCAACTTCAAGCGCTAAGAAAATGTCAAGCCACTGCGCTGTTCAGGCTGCAGGTATTGCGCCGCGAGAAGGCTGCCACAGTGGTGCAGGCTGCCTGGCGCCGGCGGGGCGCAATGCTGGATTCTAGCTTAAGATCTGTTCTTGCGGCGAGCGGTTTCGTAGTGAAAGCCTGCTCTCTTCTGCAACAGATTCTAAGGAGCTGGCATTAGCACGCAAGGCAGCTGTTCGCGTACAGGCCTTGGCCAGGCCTGGCAGAGGAGTTTATAATAATGTGTCGGACAATTCAAAGCACATGAGTTTGTGATTCTAGCAGAGTGACACGGCATCGCTGTCCAGGCAATGGCTTTGTAGAAGACACTACTTGGCAAGCCTGGCAGAGTTCAAGGAGCAGGCAAACACAGGGGCACGCTTGCTTTGAACTTTGAGCGGTGAGAAGTCTTCAGGCAGGAATTGCTGCGCATATCATGCATGACACGGTGCCGGTGTGGTTTCATGTGGGTTTGGGGTTCTGAAGGCATCTAGTATCTAGGGCAACAGCAGCTCAATCCCTGTGGAGCATGATGACTGATTGTCCAAAAGCCCCTCGTTGGAACTGGCACTTACAATTCGTGCCCATGTCAAACTGCAGGGTGTGGAGATACGGAACCCATACCAGCTCAAACTGCACAGCAGAAGAGATACGAGCATTAAGCGGGTGACTCCTTGAGTGTGGCTCCAGGCCAAGCTGGAGAATCAGGTGCTGCTCAGCTGCATGATTGAGCGGATCAGCTTGATAGACGACTTGCTGACTTGCTAATCATGCTATTATGCTACTGGTTCGGAAGAGGCTTTCAGGTCTTGTCTTGCTACAGACTCGAGGAAAGCCCTCAAGGCCAAGCTCGAGGCACAGGAATCGCAGCCTGCAATTTGGCTTTGTGGCTGAACGGAGGCATTGCACATGCCTGCTAAACGCCGCACGGACCTGCGGAAATGTTGAAGGAGCGTGCGGCTGCCAACGCAACTTCAGCTACTTCTTCAGAGGCGACGGTACTGTACCAGTGGCTGTCAGCACGCCTCATGCCTACGTGAGCGAGCGTAGTTTTACGTGAGCGTAGTTTCTTCAATGCTCAAAAGTCAGGTGAACAGATGCACGTCTTGACTGGCAGTTGCCAGAGTCAAGAGCAGAGTAATTACCTGCATATGGCAGTAATGAGTCATAATAAATATCCGCCTGTGCGCATGTGGCAACCTCAAGACGTTTCTTCTGGTGCCGTGGCCTGAAGTAGGTGACACAGCCCGGCACTCTGCTTTCCAGCTATTTTGTTGGGAGTTCTTTGTGCAGTTGTCAGGCCACACAGGCACCAGCCGAAATTCTTGAAGCGCTTCAAGCTTTGGCTGCCGAGAATGCCAAGCTCCACATGGACCGTGCAGAAAGTTTGGACTTGCGTTTGAGAGTACTTCCTTCAGTATGGGGGGAACCGCCCCCAATTCATTAGCGTCAATGGACCCCCAAATCCACAGACGGCCTTGGCGGGGCACAACTAGGCCTCGGCTCCTTCAATTGCGGGCAGGCGCTGAAAGGAAGCATTAGTTTAGAACACCTAAACACGCAGTGAGACACAACAATTTCCCGCAAGCTCACTATTTAGCCGGAGGCCTCTGAAACGGGAGGCACAGCGTGAGCCCGGGCAGCGTCTCCAAGTAACAGAGTTGAGTGGCAATCTGCAGCGCACCCACAACGGAAGGAGATTGACAAATTGCGTGCTGAGAACGACAAACTCCGTGCCTTCCATGCATAGGGATGTGGTTGCAAAGGTTGCAGTGTTTGAGATCTTGCGTCCCCTTTCAAGGTCGCCAGAATCACCAGCTGCGTGCCTCGGAAACCACACGGGGTGCCTGGCTACAATCCTTCACTCGTGCCTTGGCAGCGCAAAAGCGCACATGCACCCACAAGAGACAGAAACCAAGAAGAGCCATGCAATGCAGACCCGACCGGTTGACATGTTTGGTTGTGATAAGCTGCTTTCCTGTGCCTGGGCAACCGAGCCACTTGATAACTCTCCAGATGTCGGCGGCGAGTGCCGAGTAAGAGAGCGAGAGAGAGAGCAGGTGATGAAAATATATTGGCGACTAAGGCTCCAAAAAGCACATGGAAGATGACCGCTCAGTTGGCAGCACCACAGCAGCAAGCAGCCTTTGGCAGATTGTGCTGCGGCAGTGTCCTTTGGGTACTGCTGCTCCTCCTAAACTGTACTCAGTAAGGAGACAATGCTTCAGAATGTGACAAAGAGGACTTGCACTGCGAGAAGGTTCATGGCTTGCCTGGCACGTAGCAGCAGGGTGTGGTTTCCTGGGTTACTAGATATTTTGGCACCATGAGCGCTTCTTACTGCTTCTGTTTTCCAGGATCATGCAGCCCTCACCCCTCGAGCTGTTGGGGCGCCACGTGGCTGGAGTTGGCCCGTTTCAGTCAGAAGTGCTGGCACTCTTTCGTAAGAGTGTGTTCAGCGACCACTAGAGGATGCCGTCAGATGGCGCCCAGCATCAAGTTCTGTCCCTTCAATTGTATCCACCACTGAACGAGTTCTGGGAGGAGCGTGTGGGCTTCAAAAAGCGTAAAGCTTGTGGAGCAGCTGCTTAGCTTGCACCCTGTGAAGAGGACGTGCCTTGCAAAGGCATCCCGTACTTGCAGACTGGCTCGCTTGTACACATCAAGATGGGTCCCAACATCCTCTTGGTGGATCTGCACGGCAAGAGCCTTGTGTGGCAGGCGTGGGCCCCACAAGTGCTAAGTGATGGACAAGTTGTAGCAGACAGAGTGGCCTCGCACATGGAGTGTCTGGTAACTACGACATCACAGCAAGCAGTAATGCTTTGCTATAGCTTTCCGGACGTTCATTCTGGGCTAGAATTTTCAGAGCCTTCTTAAAATTCGATCGTTGCGGTCTTCACAATCTCACAACATGGGCGGGCAGAGCGTGGGACGAACGATGTTGAGAGCTCACAAGCGTCCGAAAGAAGTACTGATCTTACGCGTGTCCTTCACATGACCACATGTGATGATAGATATGGGAGCGGGTCAAAACCANNCCAAAGGCTTGTAACAAGGCCGGGGCCCACCCACGCGACATACCCGGTTACAAGGGGTATGTAACAGGTGCGCGCATGACGCGACAAGCCCTCCAATACCATGAGTATTCCAAGTCTTTTATAGCCGCGCGACAAGGGGTTTGTAACAAGCCCCGCGTTTCAAGGGTATGTAACAGAAGCTTGTCCGCGCGGACCATCGGGCACGGGGTTTCGACTCACTGCCATATGAGTTCGGCAGCACAAGCCTCCCGCAGTGACGCTTTTGCAAGCTAAGGCCTGGATGTGCAACCATACAGGCTACCGCAGCAGTATGGGATTCATCGTGGAACGTTGCATCGAGCAGAAGCCGAAGCAAAAGCGATTTTCTTTAATGGGCAACTTGGTGCAAGCGCATTGTCAGCAGCAGCCTGTGCTGTTCCACCCCCGACAAAAGTCCAATGAGCGGAGTCGATTTGCACATGAATGCGCCAAGCCATACCACAAAGGCAGCTCTCCAAAGGACGAGCGGGCATGCCAAGAGGGCAGCATCGGCGAGGCGTTTGTTCTCCGATCGAGTTGGACAAAGACACTTAAGCTTCAATCCTGGATGGGCTGGACATCTGCAGGACAGCATGTCGGATGAGTTCATGACTGGACTTCCCTACTGAGCCAAGGAAGTACGTCAAAATCGGCGGGCTTCTGGATTGGTACGCTTTACAAGTTTCAGGCCCGCATGATGGGTCACCAGCACTGGCCGCGAAGATATGCAAAGCTACTCCCGAGATATTCTATGTTTGCCGGGGTGCTAGTTGCAGACACTTTGCAGCAATGAGCTTAGAAGCAGCACGACCTGTCTTTCGGAGCATGACAGGTCGCAGTGCTGATGATGCGGCTGTGTTCACTCACAGGTCTCTTGGGCCGCAAATCAGTGCTTTGAATGACGTGGCTGGCCACATCGCTCCTTTTTGCTTGAAGGGCTGTTCCGTTTGCAATTCTAAGGCCTTTGAACTGTGGTCGGGGCCCCAGCAAAAGCAAAGCAAGGGATTTGTCAATCAAACGCCGCAAGTTCTTTGCGCGCTTTGCTCGCAAACACGCCAAGCATCATAGGCGTAAGCATCAGGCAGTTCCTTTGTGAGCATTGCCTTCTTTTGTAGACTTTGCCACTGAACAAGCTGGTTCTCTCTTAAGCTTCTGTACACTGTACAGCCCATCATCATGAGATCCACCCCCCGCAAAGGCCGCACGTCATGTGAACTAACTGCCTTCTTGCATATGGGCTTTGGACAGACGTTGTATGAGGAGCATCAGCCGGTTTTGGGGCTGCGCCTCCAAACAGCCTATGCATGTATTGAGTTTGGCAG